GAGAGGAGGGAGAGAGGGAGGAGTGAGGGAGGAGAGAGAGAGAGAGAGGAAGGGGCGAGGGAGGGGGAACGAAAGTGGTGAGGAAATGAGAGGGAGAGAAGGGGGGAAAGGAGGGCAAGGAGGCAACCTGCAATTGCTGAGATGATGATGAGGAAGATAGACAGTACAGCGATCCCTCCTGACGACATGTTCGCTTTCCATGCCTTCCAACAAGTCACTGAAAGATCAGCAATGGGATCATGCCGGCTGTACGTATTGCTGCCGGAGCTCCTCCTCCGCTGCGTTCCTTCCCATCGTCTCTCCGATCTGTTTTCCTCAGAGCTCAGAGGAGGGAAGTAGAAGCAGGGAAGGTGACCTTGTAGGAAAGCTCATCCAGCTCAAACTCGTTGGCGTAGCAGATGAAGCTGGGAGGAGGTTGAGGAGAGAGCCATGGGGGAACAAGAGGGACGATTCACCGATCTCCTATCCATACTCTGTCGTATCCCTGCTGGCACTGGATGGCACTGCAAACTGACCAGCACGACGGGCTGAGGCAAGAGATGAGGCGAGGGAATCAGAATGGAAGGGAAAGTGAGGAAAGATGAAGGAAGGGAGATGAGCGGCAGAGCAGCAAGGAGAGATATCAGAGCAAGAGGGGCACGTAGAGAAGCGACGGGAGGAGGAGGAGCAGGAGCAGGAGGAGAAGGAAGAAAGACGGGTAGACACGGCCACCTGCACTTTGCTTCGGGAAGAATGCTTGAATATTGTAGACAGATTGACTGGAGATACAGTTATCACTCACACAATCTCTCTCGTTATGTCTTTTTTATCCTCCTCCTCATCACAATCTCCATCATTTCCATCATCAATATTTTCATCATCTCCATCATTATTCTCATCATCACCACCATCAACATTTAACATGGAATCATTGTCGATCAGTCCCTCTCTTCTCATGTCATCATATCATGATCAAAGTAGCTCATTACATCTTCATCGGCACAAGTCGAGTTGCAGAAGCGAGAAGCCTGGCAGCGATGAGGTCAGACGAGGTGCGTGTCGAGCGAACATGCTCACCACTGCTGCGAACGGGAGCGAGCATGACTCGAGGTTCCCAAACATCCCGAAAGGGTTGAAAGCATCCTTCTGCGTACGAAGAAAGCAGGGCAGGAGCTCAGATCTCGAATGAAGGTAAGACTTGACACGTACGAATTTGTCTTGGAGGGAGAAGGAGCAGACGTGAGACGCGGCGAGAGCTTCCATGTAGTGCAAAGGAGAGCAGAAAGATGCTGAGGGAAGAATGAGGAGCGGCACGAACATCGGGTCTCGTACCTTTGGGGCTGGAGGGGAAGTACTGGATAGATGTCGAGTTCCGCTTCCTGTTTTGTACAGAAAAGTGAATATGCTGTCAACAATAAACGACGTGTAAACTGCTCAACAGCAACTGATGATGGTGCAAGCAGTCATTGTTGTTGGAATGATAGATGAGAGTGGGTTGTGAACTCCCGATGATTGAGTGCAAACAGAGTCATCATTTCGAAGAGTGCAAGACCTGTTCTCATTCGCCAAGACTGTAACGGTGGATGGGAAGAGTATGTCCTGAAGGAGGAGAGAAAAATGTCATTGCCAATACAGACAATTCAAATGATTCGAAGCAGTGTGTATACATAGACGCTTGCAAGATATGAGAATTCCCGCAATGGGAAGGAGAAGTCAAACGTGAAGAGAGGAGGACAAATTCAAGATTTTCAAGATAAGGTGGAGAATGCAGAATCACGAGAGAAGTCACGTGATGTGATTCTTACCTGCCCTTTCAACGGCATGAACGAACTTGAGACCGCAAGTGACGAGTCTTGAGTCCAGTTGCCGTTGTTGCGATCTGACAGCTGTGGGAACATAATTTTCTCAGGTCTTGCCACACAAGTTCCCATTGCACCATCAATCCTTCATCTCATGTCTATCATATGATAACATGACACCATTCTTATCGCATATTCTTGCAAGACTCCTCCCCCCACCACCACGTTCATCTCACAATCCAACGACATCCATCTCTGTCACACAGACATCAGATTTGCCGTCACCTGGCACCAGAGCTGGTTTGCGGAGGACAGGAGGCCAACGAAGTTGATGAAGGGAGGAGGAGGCGGGGAGAGGTAAGGAACAACGACTGTAGCAAGGTTGCTCTGCCATTTCAAGTTTGAGGTTCGCACACAAGGAGCTCTCATTACCATCTCCATCATCTTGACAAACAGCGAGCAAATCCCTCCACACCGCCCGTCAGACAGGATAGTCAAACTCCCTGAGTGACAAGTCATCAGCAGTGGGCGGGAAAGAAGATTGCTCAACCTTTCTCGAACCCGCAAAGAGCAGAGCTGTCGCAAACATTATCTTGCAGGCAGGATGCGCAACCCGCCCAAGCCTGCAAGACACGCATTAAGTATTCACACAAAACATGAAGGATTCTGACAAAGGCTGAGTATGAAAACACAATTTTCCCCTGCTATCGTTTGCTCCCTCATCAGGTCCGTCTACACCTCCAATACCAACTCGCAATATCTGCCTCTTTCTCCATCACTCACCTTGGACGTGTACAGCGTCTGAGATTTGGCTGAGTCACAAACGCTACCATCCATCACCGGGAAGCTGATCCGTCATATCAGCAAGAGCAGACGAGTGCAGATAGCTAGCATATCACCGTAGAAGCCCATCATAGTTTCTCCTCATACATCTACTTCATGTTAGACACTTCAACTACCTATTGCCCTCGTCTTACCTTTGCCTGTAAGAGTTCGACCAGGTTGACCTGACATCTTTGACCTGGTTGAAGCAAACAAACATCATCAGCAGCAAATATCTGATATTCCCTTTTCTCTAACTCACATCCCCTGCCACCATTCTAACAAAACGAGCAAAACCAATAACTGCAACCATCTCAACCCAGCCAATAGCACCGCCAAGACTACCACCACCACAATAGCAACCTTCTCCTGCTCCTGCTCCTGCTCCTGCTCCTTCTCCTGCTCCTGCTCCTGCTCCTTCTCCTGCTCCTGCTCCTGCTCCTTCTCCTCCTGCTCCTGCTCCTGCTCCTGCTCCTCCTGCTCCTGCTCCTGCTCCTGCTCCCCCCCTCTTCCTCCCCAACAATATCAACTTTCAATCATCGCAACGTTACCGTTTGAGGACACTTGGGGCAGTTTCGCACCCAGGCAGTGTTGCCGACACAGGCAGGGGATTGCCTGCTCAGCAGAATAATTTAAACCCCCTTCCTCCTCCTCCTTTCCCTCCCTCCCTCCCTTCTTCCCCCTCCCTCCCTCCCTCCCTCCCTTTCCCCCCTCCCCTTCCTTTTCTCGTTCTCCTCTTCCTCTCGCTTCATGTTCCTCTCCTCCTTCCGCTGCCCATGCCTTACCCGCACGAGTAGAACAAGGTGCTTGAGAGATCTGAGATCCAGGTCACATCAGTCGACTGCAACTCAACAATGCTCCACTCACTGTTTTCACACACATAGCGCATGTCATCGCTATCAGACGACTGTTGCTGTGCAAACACACAAATCACATCTCACGCCGCAAACTTCAACGACAGACCAGGGCTGTACTACAGAGGCCGCTGAACTGATTACCCCCATAGCTACTTCCGATCTTCCGGTAGTTGGTCAAAAAAGGCTTCAACGATGATGGCAATTACCGAAGACAGGTCAGAAAGGTCTTCTCCGTACACTGTTACCACAAACAAAGTCACCCTTTCGGAAATCAGCCCGCTCGGCGAGCTAACCGAGATCGCTCATCATCTTGGACTGTCTGATATGCGACGAGAACCTCTCCTCTGCATCCTGAAATCATGTCTTTTCAGCTTCGTGACAAGGGACATCACTAAGACTGACATGCGGCGACACGATCTTGCTGGAAAGGAGGTACGCGAGGTCGTAGACGTCGCAGACGCTTCCTCCCTGGGGGTTGTAAAAACATCGACAGTGAGGTCCAAAAAGCAGTTGTTGAAACTACCCAAGACATTGCGTTGTTGTGTAAACAATGAAAACTATCGTCACGTCACTCATACCCTGACACCCACAACTACATCGTCATTATCTCTATCATTTTATCTTCTTCATCATCTCATTGTCATCATCGTCATCGCCGTCGTCATCATCTCCACCTCCACCCACAATTTACATCTCACCGTATTTCCTCTCACATCCACGAGCAAGTTGTCAATCTTAGCAGCTGCGAGCTGCCCGATGATGGTGTGAAGGGCAATCTAGACGAACAAGTAAGTTGCAAACAGACAAACAGACTCGCATCGGTCAAGGCTGCAACAGACGATTGAGCAGACCTGTGAATTCTGCAAGGATCGAAGGGCGATGACACCTGTTCTTGACAAAGTTTGCGGGTCGATCATGACATACCTATCCATCATCGTCAAGCTTCATGTTGTGAGAAGGTTTCAACTGAAAGGCTGACCCTGATGCAGAGGAGAAACTGTTCTCTACCACATGAAAATGGCTTGCTTTCACATTACAGTCTCCGCTGTCACATGAATGTTAAAACATCCCTCCTCTCCTCTCCTCCCCTCTCCTCTCCCTTTCCTCCATTTCATTCCCAGTCCCCCCTGCTCTTCTCTCCTCTGCTTCACCCTTGACTCTCTTGATAAACCGTATTGCTTCTTTTCATTGCGCCGATCTTCCCCTTGCTCGTTCTGCTTACCTCCATTGGTCCTCAGAAGCAAACTTCATCGGGTAGGCAAGAGGAGGAGGCAGTGTTCCACCAGGAGGCTTCAAACTGTCGCAGCTGGGTTGTCTGACCACCTGTGAACCGATAAGGAAGTTTTCAAGATGCTTTTTCTTCCTCCTCTCCTACTCTCATGCAGCCACAGGGTTTTACCCCCGTCTTTCCCAAACCCCAACCCCAGCTTCCTTGTCCTCACCCTCCCTTCTCCTCCTGCTCCTGCTCCTGCTCCTCCTGCTCCTGCTCCTGCTCCTGCTCCTGCTCCTGCTCCTGCTCCTGCTCCTGCTCCTTCTCTGCCTGCTTCCTCCCAAATCTTCTACTCAACTTACCGCTGGTCCATTGTCAATTGAGCTTCCTTTCTTGCCATAGATCATCATCTCCTGTAACAAAGGTATGACGCCACAGCGTAATCTCCTCCTCCTCCATCCCCTCCTCTCCCTTCTCCCCCCACAACCACCACCAGCTCTCCCTCCTCCGCCTCCAACTCCTCAGTGCCAACTTCTTGGCATTTTCTCACCTTCATGCATTGCAGGTTTCGATCGAAAGGAGCGACTCTATCATCGGTGCAGGAGATTGAGTTTGACATGTCTTCTCCACCATCATTGATGACCGTCCAAGGCACGTCGATCGTGACCGTCTCAGTGCTGATGCAGGACAGGTCATTGACACAACAACAAGCAGCAAGGCAGACGACAGAACGATTTCACCCCAACAACACTCGTGTTCGATCAACGGTCGTCACCTGTCAGGAGATTGTATCTTCATCTTCACGTGGCAGAAGGTGTTGGAGCAGGGGGGCAGGTCGCAAACAGCCAGCGAGCGATGTGAAAACGTGCAGCCGAACTCTCCTCCCGAATCCTTGGCATGAAAGGAGCTGATAGACGGATAGTCCCGCTGGTAGCTTACTGCGATGTCTTGAGTGTTGGACGTATACCTCGCTTCTGCTCCTCCGTCTGACGACCATGTTTGTCCTGTCGACTCAGTGAGTCACCATGTTGTTCATGCTGGCACCAAGAGAGTTTGGAACGACCTGATGCGAGGGCCATTCGCAACCTGCTCCCTTCGTCCTCTCCCATGGCATTCTCGTTGGCCCATTGCTGAACATCTCCGTTATGTTCTGGATATTGATAGGGAGAAGAGCTCATCGTCATCGTCATCGTCATCGTCATCGTCATCGTCATCGTCATCATCCTGATCCTGATCCTCATCCTCTCTATCATCATCATCATCATCATCATCATCATCATCATCGTCATCGTCATCGTCATCGTCATCATCATCATCATCATCATCATCATCATCATCGTCATCGTCATCGTCATCGTCATCATCATCATCATCGTCACTCGTCATCATCATCATCATCATCATCATCATCATCATCATCATCATCATCATCATCATCATCATCATCATCCTCGTCCTCGTCCTCGTCCTCATCCTCATCATCCTCTCCATCATCTCACCTGCAGACTTGCAAAAGCATCTTTCAGCCCTTGACCGTCGAGATCCAGTTGGACAACCTGAAAAAGAATCTTTCAAACATTTCTTCATCTGCGAATTCCACCTTCTTCTCCTTCTCCTTCCCTTCTTCTTCTACCTCTTCGTTTTCCTCCTCCTCCTCCTCCTCACCTTCCATCCAATGAAGGTCATTGCTGATCTCCCTTCTGTGCAAGAACAAGTTTGGCAACGACACAGCTGAGCCAGCAAGTCCCTTGGTACACAATCCATCAGATCTAGCGCAGTCAAACCCCTCAAATCACCATCGCCATAACCATCATCATCATCATCATCATCACCATCACCATCACCATCACCATCACCATCACCATCACCATCACCATCACCATCACCATCACCATCACCATCTCCGTCATCTCCACCAAAACCACTAACACAGCCACCACTACCACGACTACCACGACTACCACCACCATCACCATCTCCGTCATCTCCGTCATCATGATGTTTATTATCATCGTCCTCCTCATCATCATCATTATTATCATCGTCATCATCATCATCATCATCATCATCATCATCATCAACAACAACAACAACAACAACAACAACAACAACAACAACAACAACAACAACAACAACAACAACAACAACAACAACAACAACAACAACAACAACAACAACAACAACAACAACAACAACAACAACAACAACAACAACAACAACAACAACAACAACAACAACAACAACAACAACAACAACAACAACAACAACAACAATATCATCCTTTACTCACATTCCATCAATTGGATTGTTTTTAGCAGCAGCGGTAATGCCATCTATGAAGATTCCAAAACAACCCGTTCCTTTACAGCCAGCTAGGCGAGATTGTTAGACAAGGAAGATGCAGCTCAAGTATGATATATCATAGAGCATAACCACTTGACCTCTCCTCCTTTCCGCTTCCTTCTTCTCTGATCTCCCACAC